ATTTGTGATCACCCTAGACTATTAAAAAATGTAAAATATATTTTTAAGTTAATAGGATAAATAAATCTTATTCTTATAATAAACTAATAAACAATGTTTCCTATCAAATAATTAATATGTGTTATTTAGAAAATAATTGTATCTATAAGAAAGAAAATTTTAATAAACTTTAAATTACTTGATATGTTAAATAATTTCGATTTTTAATATATATAATTTAACATGTTATTTTTACATACCTTGTCTAGATAAGTTTAGCAAAAGTTAATTTTGTAGAGACTATATTTTATTTATGAGGGAATGACAGTACAATTGTGACAAGAATTCATGGTAGAAATTGATTCAGTGTAATTAATACCATCTCTTTAAGCAATCAAAGCCATGGCCCTCACTTTTGTCTTTATATTTTGGATACATTGCCTTATAAGGATAAAATTGGCTCCTCTTTAAACTACACCATACATGTGGTTCAAAACCAACCCTTAGAAACTCTTTAACCATTTTTTTCATATATTTTATCCCATTCATGATAATTTAATATTATGTGAATAGGTAATAAAGACTGCATCATATATATTTGTTATACCTTTCAAATTTCCTTAGCAAGATAGATTTTTGCTTCTCACATAAAATTTTCTAAAGAACTTTAAAGTCTTCGTAATTGAAGTTCTAGAATAACATCTTAGGACCTTAAGAGTTTTACACCAATTGAGAAGTCATGATTCTTTAACATAACTTCTAGTGCAACGTGATTCGTTAAGGTTGATTGATAACTAATCACATCAATTAAATTTATTTATTTTATCAGACTACAAATAATCATCATAACTTTATGTCTGAATCAAATACTAAGATTTTATAAAAAGACGGATGAGAAAATGTATAGCAATACTCAATAAAAATAAATTTTATATGAAACCATAAGAGGTTAAGAGATTTACACGTTTTATGATTTCACTGGTAAGACTATTTTTGGATGGTAATGCCTAGCTCATTGAGGATGCTGAATTTAGTGGGAAAATTAGAGAAATTATCTTTAAAGAAGAATTTGTTAATATTCCTCAACATAATGTTTCTAATAAATTAGGGTGAATATAATAGGTAGTATATGTTGAAAGACTTTCAATATTTGACAATGAACGCTTATATCTCTGCATATACAGTGCTCGAACTCTAGACCTCAATAAATAACAAATAAGATTTCGTGCTCCTCGTCATAATTATACTATTACTATTCACAATATTGAAAAACAACCTACTATACTTGATATTATTCAAACAACAACTCTAGATGAAAATAATGTCATAATATCTCTCGTTCAAATATAAAACATTGTTTTGAATGAACAAATTATACAACCTCAAGAAGCAATGTCATTAATAAGATCCTCAAGAAATTGTTCAACTGAAATACTCTCTTTCCAATCATTTTTAAATATTAAATCTAATCTTACGTATATTTCGTCTTCCATTCTTGGAACTAAAATAATTTAGTTATCTTTTATTAAAAAGAATTCATATAAAAAATATAAAAAAGTGATGTAGAAATGGCAGACTTGATGAGTTGCAATGTAGTATTTAGTAGCCAAAACGGCACCATCTTAAATGGGACCATTGCCTGTATGTTTACAACGCAGACCATAACCCTCTAGAAATGTCAATATTTAAATTTAATTTATGGCCCACTATTGCTATAGAATTCTGCCTTTAATCAATTTTTTTAATTTTAATTGTGAAATCGAATAAAATATATATATATATCATATATATTATATATATATATATATATATATATATATATATATATATATATATATAAGAACCCATTTAGTGTCCTTAATGGTTAAAGAGAGTAATATTCTTTTAAGGATTCTGGATTCAAGCAACTGAATTTATAGGATGTCTGCCTTTAATCAATTTTTTTTAATTTTAATTGTGAAATCGAATAAAAAAATATACACTCATATATATATATATATATATAAGAACCCATTTAGTGTCCTTAATGGTTAAAGAGAGTAATATTCTTTTAAGGATTATGGATTCAAGCAACTGAATTTATAGGCTGTATGTGTTGATTATAACTATGAAATATTATGAACATAATCACCCAAACTATTTAAAAAGAAAAAGAAAACCTAAGGAAAAGAATTAATTGTTTCTATCATTTGCAAGCCATTATACACTAAAGAAAAAAATATATAAGTTTAGTTAGTTATAATATAGTTGATATTATTATTATTATATTTTAGAGATTGTAAATTTAAATATACTTGAACGCTCATTTTAAAGGTTTAAAAAAAGAAAGAAAAAATATTGTAGAATAGATGATATTTATGCACATAAATGAAAGATGGATGGTTTTGTTTGGATGAATGGAAAGGTTTCTTTCAAGACAACACCATTTTGCAAGTTGCTTTCATTTTCTCAACAGCTTGTTATGGGCAACTACCTTATCATCTGCAACATTCTCTTGTTTAGTTTTATTTCATAAAATGACATTTCTATCTTTAAAATATTTGACTAAATATTATATTCATATTGCATTTTACACGAATCAAGTGATCTTAATAGTTAAAATGATAGTTGTACTTGTTATCCCTAAAAGTTTTGAATTTAATTACGACGTGTTATGAGTGTATGAGCGTCTATTGTCAAATGGTTGAGAGTCTTTTGAACATACACCACCTTCTTATAATCACCTTACATCAATAAAAATAAATAAATACCGGTTTTACCAAGAATAATCACTTTGTCCATTTTTTTATGTGGCATTTTAGCCCTCAATATTGCATTTTAGGTTAAAATGATCTCCTATTTTGGAGTGTTAATCGTATTTTAACTAATATTTTTTATTTATATAGAGAATTTTTTTACCTCAAAGTGAAAGATTAATGGTCAAAATACTTTAAAAAAAGAGAGACAATAAAAGTCAAATGACAATTTTGATAAACATTAAGGATTATTTTTAGTCATAATAAAACAATTATTTCTCCATGATCGTCATAGCTTTTTAATATTTAATTTCGTAAAAAAGGAGAAGCTAATTATGTAAATTTCCCAATTTAGAAATATTTTCCAAACAAATTGGGGAGAACTCAATATCTTCAAATTTGAATGACATCATGACCGACAAATGTTTGCCCAGCTTGCAATTTCTACTATGATTGAGGGGACCCCTTTCATCCATGTCTCTAATAGCAAGAACGTGGTTCTAAAATTTCAAAGGTCCATTAAACTTAATAATTAAAGAATATGCTGTTTGTTTTGAAAATTTTAAATATACTTGTATTTATAGGATACGTGTATTTTTATTAATAATTAAAAAACAATCTGAATAAATACTATTTTCTAATCACTCACTATTAAAAATACAAATTCTGAGGTCATATGTTCAAATTCACCATTGGTGCCTTTAGTAGTTGTATAGTTAAATTGGTTATTTAGTGATATTAACTCATTTCTTGCATGGTGAAAATATTTCAATATATTTTTAAAAAGTTACATATAAATGATACAATTAATTGTGTTTTATTTAAGTCTTAAAAAATATAATATTTATTTTTTATATATAGTAAAAATAATTTTGTGCTTCTAATCAAATATGCTGTGTAATGACAAATGACATCACTTTAATCTCAATTAACATTAAATTTCAGGTTTGATATTGAACAACCTCTTTTTTTTTTATATAAAAACAAATTAAAGGAGAACATACGCTTAGATATCATTAAATTATGCTCAAATGATAGTTATGATCATTGAACTTTCGAAAGTCACAGAAATGATTATTAAATTTATTTAATTATTACAAAACAGTCACTATAATATTATAATAAATGCAAAATTTTGATATATCTAAAAAATATTTTATAATAGTTTAATAAAAATTAACAATTATTTTATAATATTTTGATAAAATTTAATAATAATTAGTTAATAATTTAATAAAATTTAATGATTATTTTATGATTTTTGGAAGTAAATGATCAAAATAATGTAAACCATAAAAAACTTTGCTATTAGTCCACGTGGTAGGTGAAAGTTGCAAAATAAATGCTTATATTTTAATTTCAATATTTTTAACTTTAAAACTTTATTTCTTTTTTATAATTTAAGAAAAGATCGAATTTGAAATCCTGACCAAAAAAAATATTAATATCACTTAACTACCGAAACAATAAGACTATCGACTGAAAGTTTAATCTTAATATAACATTAATATATCGATTCTAACTACCGAGACACTGGTGGCTGCTTTAGTTAGCCAAGAAAAAGATTCCATTAACTAGCTCTATTGTTTCTGTATTATCGAAAAATATATATATCAATTTTACTATTAATCCCTATGCAATATATTAAATCAACCTACACAAAATAAAATATTGACGACTATCATTTAATTTTTTAAAATATCCACATTTAATTCAAAGATATATACATATATTCCCAACATTATGAGTACGACATGACGATACCTTTTCATCAGACTTTTCTTCCCTATATTTCCCATATTCCTGTTCCCATTTTTTTTTATAGAAATTTTAAAATATAATTTGTTGATATAAAGTTTAAAAATGGTAAAAATTGATTACAACTGAAAATTTTATTAAGAGAATAATTCTTTAAGTTGAATAGAGCAACCTATTAGTTTCGATAGATTATAACGGGAAATGTTACATTTTTATAATATTTTTGATAGTAAACCTTAAACTCTCGTAATATAACTTTTAGGTTATAATTGAAAATGTTATAAATTTATGTAACATTTTAGATTGAAACCGTCTTAAATTAATCTTAAATTAGACAGTTGCATAACAGAAATACCTTGAATTCAGGAAGAAAAAATAAAAAAATCTGACAGAAAAACAGAAAAACTAAGCAACTCACCATTGAATTTATTGAATCTATTTGGAGTTGAAGAACATTAGAGGGCAGAACACCAGGAACTAAGCACAATTAGTTTCACCGGTGCTACCGAGTACAAAGGAATCGAATGGTTTGTAAAAAAAAGAAAAACAGGTAGACTAGTTGGCGTGCAATGGAAAAGCAGCAAGAAACGATGCTCTCTTGACGAACCTCCCTTTCATTCGAGGCCTCTTCTCGGCATTCAGTTTCCGAACCTCGTACCTTATTTTCTTCGAGAACAACCTCCTTCTCCTCTTTTCTCTGTATCTTGATACTCTTGCTTCCCTTCCTCCATCGCCCATTGCCTGCGTTTGTCCTCCCTTGCCCATCAAACTACTATACCTATGCAGAAATTCTGTTTCACCATTTCCCTGCAAATTTCAAACCAACCAATAAATTAAATAGGAATTTGAAATTTTTATAGTATGGTGCATAAGTGACGCAAAGTAGAAAGGTAATGCTTAGTTACCATGCAATCAGGCCAGCATTCTTCGGGGTCGAAATCTGGTCGGCCACCAGACGTCCATGGGGAGCCTTGAGATGCCCAGGCTGCGATTATAGCTTCATAGTTTAGGCTCAAGAGTGTTTTCTTCTTCTTCAGTTTAGCAGCTTCTTCCTTTACGAACTCTTCCTCGCCGCCACAACTTACCGGAGTATCATAGTTGAAGCTTAACTCAAGTGGCTCTCTCGCCATACCGTCTTCGAAACTCACTTCATCTTCGGTCTTCACTTTACTGTTTCCCAAAGAACACACTCTAAAATACTGTTTGGAGTCAATTAGCCCCAGCTCCTCCATTGCAAATGACTCGTTTTCGAGACCCTTACCGAGCAAACTCTCAACGTCTGCAGCAAACTCTGCAAGATCCATCTCGGAAGGGAAAACCCCATGCGAGCAATCCACATCTTGTCCATTAAAACCCAAGAAAGCTTTGTACTCAGTCGCAATAGTAGCATCCGGGGTTTCAACGTCGTTTCCCACCGCACTCACGGCTGCTTCGTTCGACGTCGTCGAAGTGCATAATTCAGCAACAAAAGGATCAAATATGGGTACCCTATAAAGCAACTGCTCCTCTTCATTCTCCTCATGCGATATCTCATCGTTCCCGACTTCTGGCACAACAGGAATCGGGTTGTTCTTCCTTTTCGTATGAGCAAACCCCTTCACGGTTCGCCTTGTTCTTGCCTTCTTCGTAAACCCTCGATCCCAGGACGGTGAAAACCTCTCCAATGGAACAACTTCATCGCCGGAGGACTTCACCGAACCAGTATTCAGGCGATCTCTTTTATGTCTACGAGCAAGCGGATTCGCCGAATGAACCGACGAATCACAGGCTTGGCAAAGAAAAGCATCGTCGGCAGCACAGTACCAACGTGCACGTTTCTTTATACAACTATCACAAGCTCTAACGCTTCTGACACCGACGGCGTTGGCCATCTTTCTCAACTAAATTAAACAAAAAAATCTGGGGATTCGAAAAGCATAGAGATGATAACAAACATCAATCAAGCCAAAGAAGCAACAGAGGAATGTTGAATTTGGCGATTTATTTCAGAGACCTTTTTGTAAAGTGGTACAATTATTTGTATATGGCATAAAGGGTCCATTGGATGCACTTTTGGGTCCATTCAAACGGTGCTGGATTGCTCTTTTGGGGTCCACAACAAGGCCTTATCTGGATTTTGATTGGTTGAATCTGTAAAGTTCATCCTAATCTCTGCTTTCTCATTGGCTGCCTCACCAATCAAGGGATTTCCGGTGGGTCCAGGACGCCATGGATATGAGAATGAGGCATTTGACTCCATCCTTCTGTCAATGTCTTTGCTAGGGTTTTGAGAATGACCCTTTTGTAAGTCTTCTACCAACTGCGTTATTACCTGTTGTTCTGAGTACTCGGATCCCTTTCTGCGGTCCCCTTTATGCACTTGCCTTATCCGTGTTTCTCTTTCTCAACTCTCTTTTCCTAAGATTTTATGTTCGATCATGAATTTATAAATTTTTAAGAGAGAAAAATATATATTATATTTTTTAAGATAGTTTGAATGATTATAAGGCAGTAATTGTTGTTTAAAATATTATTGACCATTGACAATATATACTCTGTAAATACAATTGTTCGAATCTAATATTTCTAAAAAAAATATTTCCTTACAAAAATATATTATCAATAGAAAATATAAAAAATTATATAAAATATTTAAAAATTTTAAAAGAATCGACCAATCCTATCAACCCGTCAATCTATCCTACTCTTTGATTCTGGTCTTTCAGTGCAACTATATCTCACCCCAACAACAAGGTGATGCAAACGATATAATCTTCACACTTAAGTTTACACTCATTCGCTACCACTTCAACCGATCATGTTCTTTTTATTAAAACCAAAGAACGTTGTTTGAGCTTTAAAATTCATTATCTTTTACATTTTTATTGTTTTACCCATCTCACTTCCATAACAAGATGCATATTATTGTTTTACATATGAAAATGATCTACTTCCTTTCTTTCTCTCTCTTTGTTTTTCACCGTCCTTCTGAAAACAACACTTGTATTTTAATTTTATTTGGCTATATAAATAAATACATTTTTGTATTGCTTTTGAAAGTGGTGTTTATCTTACAATTATACAAATTAAGGTAAAATCACTTTTAAGAAATCGATTCTTGACAATAATATCTTCTCTCTTTTCGTGTTTTCTTAATATAATATCAAAAAAAATTCCTAGTATTTGATTAAATAGTTGTTTTGATCTATATTCTATTTTTTTAAAAATATTTTAACATGCAACGTTTTATTTAAGATAAGAGAATAATTCTCTGGATTAAAATCATTAGTGGATGTATGGATATGTCGCATCAATACATATATAATTTTTGCTATTGACGTGACATTAGTCGTAAATATTCCATGTCATCATTTGTGTGCATATAAACTCGTTGAATCAGCTTCAAACATTAATCATCTGTCGATTAACGATTTTTTATTTACGAAAGGTTTATTAGTCAAAATGAAATGTTAAAAGTTAAAATATTATTAATTATTTATAGCCACAAATTATAAGTAATAATTAATATATATTTCAATTCGTAAATCGATTTAGACTTTCAGTCTTAATCGACAAAGACCGTTCTTGGTATATCCGTGGAAAAAACCGAGCCAATAACTTTGACAAATTGCACGATGATAACAGATAGAATGGAGTCTACTCATGGAAATTAAACTAAATTGGATAAGATGATATAGAGATTTAATCTAAGTGCCCAAAAATCAACCACACACACAAAATTTCACTTTGATTCTTATTTCTCAACTTCAAAACATAATATAATTAATACGTTTATTAATAGAGATTTAATTCAATTAACGTCTTTTAATTATTATTGTTTTTGTCAACCATCTCTAAAACATATTGTTAAAAACTCTTGGTTTGACATTTTTTTTCTCTTAGATTGTAAATTTTATACCCATTAAAAGTAAAAGTTTTCTTTTCCCTCCCTTTAAGTGGAATTGTTAAAAAAAATATATCATTGATAGGTAGTTTATCTTATTGCCAACAAGCCTATTTTTTGTTTGAATGTTGGTGTATGTGTTTGATTTTTAAATAAACTTTAATAAAGATTATCTAAATATTATGAAAAGGAGAATCTATTGAACTATCTCAATGATAAAAGAGAATATTATTCTCTCTAAAGATTTTGGATTTGAACATTTACAAAATCTATGTACGTTGTTAATAATTAAGAAAGATTCTTAACATACCAACAATGGTTGGTTCAAGTGGTAAGTAGTTGGATATTGCTTAAGCATGTATCGAGTTTGAGGTATTGTGTATGTAGAAAATTCTCGTTGGACGACTCATCTATCAAAGTCATGAGTGCGACACGAATTTATCTGAATTACTTAGAACAAAGTTTTAAGAAACCGGGAGAATAAAAAAGGAAGAAAGATCCAGAATATATTCTCTAAATAATCGTAAATTACTTTTGGAGGTTATTTTTGTTTTGGCACCGACTTGATTTCATAGTATAACAAGAATCAAAACTCCATTTTATCTGTGGTTGAAAAATGATATTGAAAGTTTAAATATATCAAAATAAATATGTAATTAAATGATTTAATTACCAAGAGTCCTGATGCAGTTTGGTTAGAGAAATTGTAGCAATAAGTGGGTGTTTGTCGAGTTTAATCCAAACTTAACGAGGAAGAAAGGACCAAATATTAATTTTTAATTATAGTTTTATAAATATTAAAATATATTGAATGTAAAGCCATATTTGATAGCGTAGGCTATTGATCTGCCATTAACTTCTTTTTTAGCCATTTAGGTACAAAAGGAGAACATGAAGACTAACTACACAGTAAACATTATATTCAACGTGACACCATGTAGATCGCCATGGACAAACTTCAGAGCTTGCTTTGGTGACTGTAGAAAAAACATACGTTTCTAACAGCTTATCAAAAGCTAGTTTGTTGATCGGCCAGTCGGATCAGCCACGCCAGCGCCAAAAACACGAACAACATTGATTTCCCACTGCCCTGAAAAACAGCGTTCGAGACTTTTAAAGAAAGACCACCGGAGCATAATCGTTGTCATCCTTAGTAACCCCGTGAACAGATGCGATATCGTCCATATCAAGCACACCATCACGACCTCCCGAATCCAACGCCGGTTGCAACTTGTCAATTTCCCACGGCCACGACGACATGCGTTCGAGACTTTAAAGAATGACCACCGGAGCATGATCGTTGTCGCCCTTAGTAAAACCGTGAACAGCTGAGATATCATCCATTTCAAGCTCAGCACTACGTGCTCCCTAATCCGACGCCTGTTGAGGCCCGTCGTGGGGCTCAAATCATCAGGTGCCATTTTTGTTTTAGTTTCTGTAAGCTTTATTCCTGCAAATATCTAAGGTTGAAAGCCTAATGGTTTATAAGAAAGATATGAATATTTATAATCTAAGTGTCAATCAACCAAATTTGTGTGATATAGTTTCTGTTACAAGGGAACACTGAAGTAGCTTACGAATGGCAAGGTTTACCTGTGTATCAGTTGCGTGTTAAAACTAGGAGCTTATCGAACGAGTTTGATCGCGAGATATTATCGAAATAGATCGAAAAATCCAAGCACATAAATAGAATTATAAGATAGATATTATTTGGTTCATTAAAGATACATAAAATTATATATTATTGACCAGGATGGAACTACATACATAGAGGCTTTGCCCTCCAAGTTTTTAACCTTGATTCCTCTTGTTTTTCTGGTCTAAACACTTCTTAAGTCCATGCAAATTTTGAAAATAGGCAACTTAAATCATACCTCTATTTTTTAGTTTAAATATTTTTTAGAATTATATCCATTTTGATATTTAACAAATTTAAGAGTGTAACTGAATAAAACGTTTGATGAACTATTTTTGAATTGTTAAGTTAAATAAACGAGTATAAACAATTTTTTTATGTCCGCTTAATAATTGAACGAACACAAATAGTGTTGTGTTCGGTTCGTTTATGTTCACAAACAAACTTGTTCAAAAGCTTTTTTTATCAACTCGTTTATAAGGTTGTTTTACCCGATTTTTGTTTTCCCTTTTTATATTTTAAATATCATTGAATGTAGGGACTAAATTGAACACAAGGTGAATTTTAGAGTATAAATTGTGAAGCCTAAGGAGCTCAATGACTAATTGTGTAGTTTCACCATTTTAGCAAGCCTAATCGTGAACAAATAAACTAAAATATTCACAAACCCTAAATGAATTGAACAAATTAAACCTCGACTTCAATTTCATTTTTTAAATATTAAATTAATAACTTAATAATTATACCTTAACCCTATTTGATCTGATCTTGAAATCATTAAATAAAAATCCATGAAATACTCAAAGTCCAAGACCAAGAATAAATGAGAGATCGACCGAATATGAAAACCCTAAAAAGGGGTCTCCCATATGGAGATATTCATCTTCTTTACTGAGTTAACACTTAATTATCTTCCTAACCATGAATTCTTCACTGACTTAAGTATCAAAAAGAACGTCTTGGAACACAAATTCCGGACACCAAAAAACTCTACTTTATTATAAATTGTCCTTGACCGTAGATGCATCAAATATTAAAGCTTTAAAGTACACAAATGGTCCCATGACTATAAGGTCTTATTTTGTTAAGTTCCTCGATTATTAAAAGTTACAAAATGATCTCTCGATTATTGGATGTTGTTTTGTTAAGTCTCTTAACTATTCATATATTTCAAATTCATCATTTTCTATTGAAAAATTGACGGTCGTCTAAGTGAATATTAACATGTTGATTGAGATATGATATAATTTGATCCCAAAACTGTTTGAGCTGTATTTTTTTTATCAACTCTTTGTTTACATTATGTCGTCGAGCTAGTGCTTTAAACATTCTGTTGTTGAGCCAGTGCTTGAAAGCAACGACGATGCTAGTAGATATCATTAAAATATAATTTTATCATATCTCAGTCAACATATTAACATCCAACTCAGACGTCCTTCAATCTTTTTATAAAAAAATGACGAGTTTGAAATATATGAATAGTCTGGTGACTATTTAATAACCTTTAATAGTTAAAGGACTCAATAAAGAAACACCCTATAATCGGGTGACCATTTTATAACTTTCAATGGTTAATAGACTCAACAAAGAAGCGCCCTATAATCGGGATATCATTTATATATTTTACCCTAAGCCTTATTTTAATTAACTTAATAATCTAACCATTGTTTTGAAAACCGAACCGGACCGGCCGGTTCAACTGGTTCAATCAGGAACCGCTGCCTAGTTCGGTTCAATCTACACCGGTTGAACCGCTATTAGTGAACTGGGCGGAACCGCTGCACCGTTCAAACCAGACCGGCTGAAAACCGAAAAAAACCGGGGAAAACCGAAAAAAACCCGGAAAAATCGCCATTTTTGTTTTTGTTTAAAAAAAAATAAACCAAACAAAGTCGTTTGTTAAACGAGCCAAGTCGAACTCGAGTATTGCTAAGCTCGACTCGAACTTGAAAACTTTAAAAGTAAGTTCAACTCGACTCAAACTCACGAGCTAAAAATTATCAAGTTCAACTCGAACTCGAAATACAATATTGAAACTTGAACTCGAAAAGCCTTGAACTCAAAAAAAAAATTAGAAGCTCGATTGAAGCCTAAAATTCGAGCTTGATTGAAGTGAAAGAATAGTTTACTCAATGTTCACCAAAAGGCTCCATGATTTTGAATGCCAAATTACCTCTATTATTTATAGAAGTTAGTTGTGATGCTCTTCTATATTTCTTAGCCTTGTGGGATTGTTTTGTTATCATATTTTTACTCTTTAGACTTTTGGGATGCTCTTCTATGTTTCTTAGCCATGTGGGATTGTTTTTTTTAAAAAAATTAAACTAAACAATATTATTTTGTTATAATTTTTTATCCCCAAATTTATTTTTTAATTATAGTTATATAATTATATTTATTATTTAATATGTTTTACCTTAATTATTATGTTGTAGTTAATTTGAATCATTTTGTTTCACTTGATTTTATGGTTTTTAACTTATATATGTTATGACTTGCTTTGAATATGACTTGTGATATAAAAAATTATTTTTATTAAATGTTTTTGGTATTTTTATTTAATTTTTTAAATAATTATGATGTCGTTCGATTCTTTCGACCGGTCGGACCGATTGAACCAGTAAACCGGTAGCATGACCGGTTCGCTAACCGGTCCGGTTCTGAAAACCATGAATCTAACAAAACATACACGCCATCCGAGTTTCATGAAAAGCAGCCGTAATATTTCCATGCAAGTAGCATTTTTCCAGCACGAAAATCTGAAATCCAAACGGCACTTGGGAGAAATGCTGAGGATGAAACGTGGGGTGAATGGCCTCCAAAAATTTAAGACAAGTTGCCGTCTTCTTTAATGAGGTAGGTAAGTTGGTTTTATCTTAATGTGTTGGAATATGCGACAGATCGCTCCATCTCATTATGAAAGGTAGCCATAGGTGGGCATTGGGCACTTGTTTTCTTCATTGCTGGAATATGCCACGCCTGCTCTCATGCCTACCTTTTAGAATATGGTAGCATCAATTCGGTAGCTTCCGGACCTTCCAGAAGCATACAAAACGTATATTTATCTGATATAAACGAGTTTCAGAGATTGGACACTGTTCGAGTACCAGCCATAACCCTGTAATCGCCAACTCAGTTTCTATTATATGAATTTTAGTGGTTCTTGGCTTTTCACCAAACCCTGTGGTTGGTATACTAAATAGATGGAGGTTTGATTTTATGTTGTGACAGATAAACCTATTAAGTGGATTTTGGTAAAAGATAAATGTTAATTCTCTTTACAGGTTATGTGTTCGAGCAGTTGTGCTTGTGCAAAGTATATATGCATTGTCAATAAGTTAAAAAAGTTCTGAACAAATACTATCTTGTAATCACGTTAGATTATTCAAGAAAAAATTATGAGACAAATTTATAAAATTTTAGGGATTGAAAATATATTATTAATAGAAAATATACAAGAATACTTTTTTATATTTAAATTATATAAGAATGTGAAATTTCCATAAGGATTATTCTCTCTTAATTTCTTCTCAATCCATTCTTTGATAGATTGAAAAGATCGAAAAAAAATTAAATGATAAAATAAAATATAGAAAAATTATTTTTTATATTTATTTTATGATGTTATATTCAAGATTTATGATTGATTTTTATCGATAATAAAATCTTGGAACTAATACTTTTTTAGAGTAAAATATGCAAATTTTTTGCACATGGTTTATCAATGACCAGAAATATAAACGTTTTCCGGCAAGCATTAACAAAAGAAATGGTTCCCAGGGAATATTGGAATTAAACGAAGAGAAATTAGTGCTTAAAATTAGATTTTTTATTATTTTTGTTTTAGTGACGTGAGCAGAAAGCATTATATGCTATACGATATAATTTCATAACATCATAATATTAAAAGTAGATGCAATAAAATTTTGACTTGAATAAAAAAGAATTGATTTAATTAAATAAATTAAATAAAATTTAAATAATAATATGACTTGTCATTTTGATTAATACAAAAAAATTTAACCCGATTGAAAATTGACCCCTGATTTTTCGTTCATTTCAATTTTTTTTCTCAAAATTGACCTCTGCTATTATAGAATATCTATGTGAACTCAATTTCTAATTTTAATGATAAATTTATCCCTTTTACCATTTTATCCCTTAATTACATATTTTATTTAATTTTATTTTTTACTGTATTTTTTATAAATCCTTTCTTTCTGTCAATTTTTTACTCATTTATCCTCGATTAATACTTCGTCCTCAAAATACATTCTTAAAAAAATTATAAATATATTTTGTAATTTAGATAATATTTGGTTTATTAAATAATATTGCAATGTGAAAAAAAATAAAAAGGGATGTAAATATGTATATATTTATATGATTAGAGAAAGTCGTTAAATTAAACATATTTGCTTCATATTATTACAAATATATATACAATTAGATTTACACAGAAACTAAAAAAATTTAACTTGATTCAAATTTTATAAATTTGACTCGAAATTTTTAAATCAGGTTTTAATCCTAATATATGACTCATCAACTCGACTAATTCAAATTTTTTTAACTCGATTCAATCAAATATTTACACTTAAATAAAAATCAAAATAAAAAATTATCAAATTTATAAACTAAGGTAAATCAAAATAAAATTCAATAAAAACAATAGTAAAAAGGTACGTTATAACAGTTAAAAAATGCTGCCTTCTGATTTAACCTCGTGAAGTTAAAAAAAAATGCCAGAGTCCATTCAAAACTGTATCAGGCTTTTTGCCAGCAATTAACTTGAAATTGAATTCTTTGCTCTTCTGTTAGGTCCTACAACTCCACCAAACACATCACTTCATTAAACTCTTACAAGCCCTTTGTCTGAATCTGTATAATATGTGATTTCTCTGTGTTTTATGTTGATATTAGATTTCCATATATTTTTTTCTTTTCATTCAGTGGGATCAACAACTTACAGCTAGATGCTCTAAAGGCTTATTAATTCCAGCCAATAAACTTGTTGACAAGACAACTACACATATAGTAACAGGTCACACTCACAGGTATTAATAAGGACAGACCCTACCAAAAAAGGGATAGAAAATTGAAAGAAATCCCTGGGAAAAAAATTTTACAATTTGATTTCATGATGATCAATGAATTTTGCAGTTCTTTTCTCTTAAAATTTTCCAGGTCTTATTTCAATGGCTGAAATTTAAACCCTGAATGATTTTTTTCCACACTGTTATCATTTCGGGTACCTATGCAAACTCACAATCTTGTAAAAAGAAAAATGGCAGAAGAAACCAGTGAGTAAATGAGGTTTACAGGAGAAATATAAATAAATCCAGAAAATATTTGGATTTTATATGATTTTTAACCATATTTGTTGTTGTTTTGGCCTAGAGCTTGACGACTTCAGGGATGTGAACTGGATACCTATCGATGCAATCCGCCCAAGGTCCGTCTGTTGGCGTCTTGATTGTTCGGTTGCACTTCCATACGGCGCTGTTGCACTTGAATCCGCTCCCGAAAGCGATCTGCCAAACCCTGTCGCCTCTTTTCATCCTTCCCTTGGACTCGATGTAGCTCAACTCGTACCACAGCGATGAGGACGATGTGTTGCCAAACCTGTGCAATGTCATCCTCGATGCCTCCACGTGCTCCGCGGAGAGTTGCAGGTTCTTTTGGAGTTCGTCTATGACTGCCCGGCCACCGGCGTGGATGCAAAAGTGTTCGAACGCTTGCTTGAAGTCGGGGATGTAAGGTTTCCACTTCGGGTTGAAGATTTTACGCCCGATGAGTGTAATGAGAAACAGGAGTTGCTCCGAAGCTGGAAGAACTAAAGGACCAATGGTGGTGATGTTGGATTTTAGAGCCTCGCCTGCAATAGCCATTAGATCTTTAGATAATGATATTCCCACATTGCCTTCCTTGTCCTCTTCTTCGAACACGCATCGGTACGCCTTGTCGGCTGAACCTTTATGGGTTCGGACTACATGCATGAGCTTATACTTGGCACGCCACCTATCGGAACGGCGGTTTGAAAAGAGAATCGCGGCGCCTCCCATGCGGAAGAGACAGTTGGGAAGGAGCATGGCTCTCTCTTTCCCTTGGTAATAGTTCGGAGTGATGATCTCGGTGCTGACGACAACCGCATTAGAACTCGGGTGCAGTTGGAGATGATCACGAGCCAAATCGATCGATATAAGCCCCGCACTGCACCCCATTCCCGAAAGATTAAAACTCTTTATATTACTCCTCATCTTGTACTTGTTGATCACCATGGCGGACAAAGACGGCGTCGGAGAAAACAGACTGCAGTTAACAATGAGAATATCGATGTCTTTCGGTTTCAACCCCGTCTTCTTAAACAAAGAATCCATAGCCGAGAAGATAACGAGCTCGGCCTCACCTTTCGCGGCCTCCATCGTGGGATTAGGCGGGATATAATGAATAGCGGGAGGCAAACAAGTCTCCTCACCGAGACCAGACCGTTCAAGAATCCTAATCTGAAACTCGACGCTCTTGGGGTTGTTACTCAAGATCAGTCTGGAATGCTCCATAAAGGTAGCGAAAGGAACCCGGCAAGTCACCGGCGGCTTGTAACACGCGTAATCCACAAGGTAAATACTTCTAGGCTTGGACATGAAGTAAACGGTGGCGAGAAAGATGATGAAGAAAGAAGAACACAGGATTTGGACAAAATCAAAGTGAAGGGAAGTCCATAGGTTAACAATCTCCTCGGGACCTAACCGAAGAACTTCGATAACGGAACCGGCCATGATGGGGATAAGAGTAAGAGTAAGAATGTGATTGACTAGGTATTGGTAACCAAGCTTAACATACTTAATCTTAACCGAGGAGAATAAATCAGGCATTGTTTGCGTGCAGAGGAAAAATGGGGTTAAAATTTTTGAAGGAGAGGAGTGGGGGAGAAGAGGAGGCGGAGGTGATTTATAGAGGAAGAAGGGCAGTCGGGCAGATGGGAGGAGTAAATGAAGGGAGTCACGTCACTCAACGCTCACTTAACTCTCCATTAATTTTGCCTAACTTCCCCTCTGTAACTAAAACACTTCAAGAACTTCACTTTTCGTGTATCAATGATGGCGATCATGATAATCATAATCCTGCCCTTCATTTGAAGAAGTAGAATCCAATATCCATGGTTCTCATAAAATTATTATTGTTTTTTTTAATAGTTTAAGTGATTATAAGATAGTATCTTGTAGACATGGTTATTCGAATAAAAAAATTTAAAAAGACAGTTATTCCAATATCTATAGGTCACTCCATGGTTCTCATAAAATTATTATTGTTTTTTAAAGTGATGATATAATAAAATAGTTAGGAAAGACACCGTCAATTACAACTTATGTGATACAATTTGTACATTACACAGGAAAGTTCAGTGGGCTAAAGTATGAGTTGCGACATTTGCAATCTTGGAGACAAATTGAACGTTAATATAATTGTGTTGTTATAATATGGCTCTCGTCTCACGTAGATGAAGGCCGACCAAGCAGATCCATACCACATTGTTGGAGTTGGTTTAGCATATTGTGTTGTTATAATATGGCTCTCGTCTCCCTCAATTATAACATTGTTCTAGTCATTATCCAACAGGAGGCGCAACCCAATGGTGACAACATCTGCTTTCACAAAACACGAGTCCAGCCTGCAACATAATGTTCTTCAATTGCCAACAAGAACAAGACCTCGGCAAGGACTCCAATGACAGCAACATCAAAAACATCATCTACATTTATCTTAACGCATCTCTTGCATGATTAAGCAACACCAACAATGGCGGCAGCAAATATTATAATTTTCAATGTTTTTTATTCTTTTATCTTATATTTATTATCCATTTTGTTATAACCACTTGAAAATGACATGATTAAGCTTTTCCGTTATGAGTAACATATTGCATTGTTGTCACTTAATTATGCTTTCACTCTTTCTAATTCAAGTGTCATTCATTTCGGGACAACTTTGATGGAGTCATAGATAAGCAAGGGCATTTATGCAATAAAAGGCTTGGAGAGTAAGCAAAAAACTTACAAGAATCAACTAAGGTGGGGAAAGGAAATTAAATTCATAAAAGAGATCAACAAGTTGATCCTTGCTATTAACATGCGCCACACAAAGAAATCCACATTAACCCTAACTGCCAATAAAATGACAATCTATTTTGGTATGTTCCTTGCGAAAACGAAAGATAAATTTAACTGGACGTAATTGGCAAAGCTTTGGTAGAAGCAGCAAGTTCCCAGAACAAGTTGTCGTGAGCCAACAAGTTTCAGCAACGGCGGATGCAACAGCCCGATACTCGGGTTTTGGAGATGATCTAGCAACAGACCGATGCCTGTGAGAACAACATAAGATTAACTGCTCACTTCAAGCCTGAGTCCCTAAATGGCTTCGTGGGATCAACAAGCCCTATAGATTGAGCCATCTGAAAAGTTTTTGATGTTCATAAAGAAATGCATTATTAACATCGAACAATGGTGTATTTTTCTAGAGCTCGGGTTTTCACTTGTCAATCTGGTCTTAAGTACATTCCGTTGTAAGTTAAGGGTATTGAATTTCTTTGACCATTCCAAGATTGATCTTTTAGTTGAAGTTGAGCACAAAATTCCTGATTCTTCCTTGATATTGGAGGTCACCTCCCACATAGCACAGGATCAATTGCCCTATGATAGCCCAATATCATTTTAAAGAGTTGTCCCTTTGAATTTAATGGATTCCAAGTTAAGGTTTTTGAGGCACCCTGAAAGAGCTCAAGATCAAGAGATTCTTAGCCCGAAAAGCCCAAACTTTGAAAAACGAAATTCTAGCCTATTTGATGCATCCGAATTGCCCCTGGTTTTTGGAGATGGATCGAATCCGTCTTTAATCATTTCTTGTATAGTTGTATTCCAAGCAAAAGTCATTGCTTCATTTTCCGGAAAGAAAATCTTTTATATCTAATAATCTTTTATTAAGAAAGAATAAATTCAAAAAATATCAATAACTTTTAAATAAAATATTAATAATTAAAACAAAAAAAAGGATTCAATTATTCAAAGTGATATTCTTACATACTTCTGAAAAACCAAACCTAACTCACGAACTTGAAAAATATTTCTTCTTTCCCCTAACTTTTTTTCTTTAATGCATTGCCCAAAAACCGAGTTGTCCTAATCTTCTGCGTACTGCCCTTAAGCATAAAGAAGAGACCAGCTCCCAGACAAACAAGTTGGAGACAAGAAAAATCACATTAAAACAAACAAATAAATAAATGAAAAGTTTGTTGTCCTCTGTTATCTTTGTTTTGGAAAAATCCAGATACCATCCCTTTTCTTCTGGTTTAAACAAACTTCTTACTACTCTGTGCCAATCTTACGGGGAGAAAGATCCATGTTTCAAGATATCCACACTAACCACGTTCCCATTGACAGAGACTATCTCACAAATTATCCGAAAAATCTTAAATTATTAAGACTGAGTATTAAAACGAGTAGAGTTAAGAAAAAAAAAATAACTTAACTGAGTGGATGAGTTATATTTTATAATTCAAATTTCATTTGATTTATATTTCAATTGAGTATGTCATAACGTTTCTCCTAATAGCCTTAGCAACGAGCAGGAATTCATTAGATTTAAAAAATTAATTCGAGAAAAGATGGTGAAATTTAAATTTGAAAACAATTTGATTTTGAAGTCGTCATCAACCTTTGAGTTATGTAAGTCGAATACCTAAAAGATCTCTTTTTAATGAATTTTAGAAAAATTATTAAAAGACAAAAACGGTTTGCACTTTACCAAAGATTCATTTTTTAAGAGTTTGATAGTCGATTATGCATGGGGAAGTAAAAACACCCCACAACTCACAAAATGTACCCAAACTGTCATATGTTGTCTATACACTGGAATTGCAAACTCGAATATATATTTAAATTGTGATCCTTTCATTCATTCGAATTTATTTAAAAGGGTGTCCTTTCGATTCAAGAATATCAACCAAGGCCGCGATCCTTTAGAGTTTGGATACTAGTCCATTCTCTCAAACCAAAACAACATTGCCTTCAAAATTGATAAAATTGAAAAATATGATGATAGATAATAAATGCAATTAGTACAATAATATACTTTTATGGAATAATTAATATATACATAAAAAATATTTATTTACCCCAAAAGATTATTATTATTATTATTATTATTATTATTATTATTATTATATAGAAATTACACCATTATGTACGAACAATCTTTGAAAATGCTCCTCCCTTATAGTTTGGAGACTTTTTCATGGATTTCCCTCACAAAATGATATTTCTCTGATTTTTATTGATAATATATATATATATATATATATATATATATATATATATATATATATATATATATATTGTTATTTTAAAAATATAGTATTATATTAGTTTTCAAGAAAACGCTTGGATAAATGAATGTTTTTTGTATGAACAATCATTGGAAATGCACTTTCTTTATAGTTATGAGACTTTTCCATAGATTACCCTCACAAAAAGGCATTGCCTTTCTTTTTTTAAAAAAATGAAAATAACATAAATAAATAAATAAAATGAATGAATGAAATGAGATAAAATAATAATAATAAATAAGATGAAATAAAGTAAAATAAGATGATAAAATAAACAACATGATGAAATAAAAAACCAATCGATTTTAAAAATAACTTGTGTGCGAAAAATCCTCGAAGATACACTTCCCTTGTAGTTGGGAGATGTCTTTATAAATTTCCCTCACAATGAAATTTATCCTTCATAAATGTAAAAAATATTATGACTTATAGATAATTAAAATTCAAATAACAATGCATATATATAATGTGAAGAAATATACTTAAAGTAGTGACCATGGTGAACAAATTAGAAGAGGCAATGATTAAATGACTAAGTTAATAAGTATTAGTTAAGGAGCCAACCAATCCAACCTAAACAACAAATATTGAAGACTAAACGTACCATAAGTCTACGAAGATTCCTATTTCTAACTAGGAGTAGCAATAATATAGGTAATCAACTTCGATTCCGAATCTAGATACAAACTAACTATTTGGTCTCTACTAGCATAAATAAGGGACTAACATGAATATTTTATAAATTAGCAGCCAAAATTGAAAACAAGAGATAAACATAATGAAGAATAAACAAGGCTGAAATATAAATAAATCACAAGCAACATTAGTGATTAAAATAAAATGAGATGCAAATTAAGGTGCATAAGTGAAAATATAGGAAAGTAAATGCTGGAAATTAAAAGGAATAAAATGAAAGACCGGAAATTAAAGGGGCAGTTAAAGTGCTGGAATTAAAAGGACAGAAATATTAAATTGCATAAATTAAAAGTTAGGGGGTCAATTTTAGCATTTTTACCCGAGCCATAAACAATGTGAATAGTACCCCAGGGCGGGTCACCACAAAGTCGTTGAAATATTCGAATGTTAGGAAGTTAGTGGGTTAGTTCGAACAGTAAAATAAAAGCTAGTGGGTTAGTGTTAGAAAATTGACCCCAACCATAATAATACAGATCATACCCCGGGGTGAGTCACCACAAAGTCCTTGAAATATTCGAATATTAGGATAAATTAAAGTTAGGTTAGTAACTAAATAAAAATAGATAAAAACAAAGTGCTGAAAATAAATAAAATAAAGAAACAGAAGCATAGCAAGGCAGTGATTAAATTGAAAGAAACAAAAATTATGTAATAAAATTAAAACAATTGAAACAAGGGCATGGTAAATCTGTGACTAAATTGAAAATATTGAAGATAAAGTGACCAAAATATAATACATTAAATAAACTGGAGATATGGTGACCACTTTGTAAATTCCCGCTAAACGTTTTAGGATACAAAGATGATTTTACCATTTTTGTTAATATATATACTTCTTTTTAACCATTTTAGGTAAAACCCTAGCCCCATTTTTTAGAATTTTTTTTAAATCGGGTTCGGGTTGGGTTTAGGGTGAAAAATACCCGACCCGAGCCGAAAAAAAATACATTTTTACCTTATATATTTAGGAATAATTTCAATAATACCCCTCTATATATTATTTTTTTTCAATTGAGTCACTCTTTTATTGAATAAAAATAATATTTTTTTATTATTTCGGGTCGGGCTGGGTTTTTAAGTTATATATCGGGTTGGGGTCGGGTCGGGAGGAATCTTGTTTTGGTCGGATCGGATCTCGGGTGGAGGATTTATTGTTCTCAGGTCAGGTCGGGTGTACCAAAAACCTGACTCATTTCTTCTAAACTCCTCGTTGGCGCCCTCTCTCAAGACAATAAAAAAAACGATCGACCATCGTGACTTTTCCCTCTCTCTCTCTCTGCTACAAAACTAAACCCCAAAAAGTGAAAAATTTCCCCTACTCCTTCATTACCCTTTCGAGTGAGCCAAAAGAAAACCTCTTCTATGCCATAGATAGGCACCTTTAGCTCTCCCGGCCACCATCAATAGTGGCTGATCAACCCCTAAACCAAACTAAACCATAAATGGCTTCAACTTTATCCCTTTCTTAAACCCAAACACCCCTAAAATCGAGCAAGGACCCTTATATGGCCTAAAATCCCCCGTCTTTGGACTTCCGACGACCCTAACCACTTAAAGGCGGTGTCTTTCTCCTTCCGACGACCCTACGCTGAAACGACACCTCAACTAAGGTAAAAATGCTTTATTTTTTTGTTTATTGCTTACTTTTCAAAAAAAGAAAACAAAGAAAATGAATGGTTGCATGCAAGAGCCAAAAGATACCTTGGTTGTTGTTGTGTTTTTTGAATATGTTATTTTCTTTTTAATATTCGAACGTACCTCCCCCACCCCCACCTATCCTCATATTACATTTTTGTTGGGTTTATATACCCTATTCAAAAAATACATAAAAATAAGAAAAATATTGTTCTTTTTTTGTTGTTCATTTTTCTAATGTCATCCATTTTTCGTGTAGCACGGGAGGTTATGTTATGAGACAGACTAATATACGGTTAAAAAAATCGCGTGACTGGTTAAATAGGTGACCGGTTAAAATCGTTATCGGAAATGTTATATGTTTTCACCGAAAAATATTATATGTGTTGATAATAATAATGGTAATAACAGGGAATATTATCGTCGTATGTAAAAGTGCCAAAAAAATATTGACTTTAATATAACCGGTTAATCACTAGAAACATTATCAACTATAATAACATAACATGTAGTGAATATGTATCGTTTTTTTAAAGCTAATGAGGACTTAGAAACCCGACGATAACAAAATAGATTAATTACTTGATTTGTTATAAATATTATCAACATATAAGGTAGCGTCTAAAATCCTTAAATATTGCATCACTTGTGGATCGTTGGATCTCAATCAGATCCAACGGCTAGAGGTCGACGACGCTTGGAGCTAGAGGTGGAATCCCCAACAACTTGTTTGGGCACACGGGCCTGCATTTTGGGCCGGTGGAATTGGGTTGCTTCAAATGGGTCCGTTGCAATATATTTTGATTTTGAATTGGACTTGTGTTTTGACTTGTAGTGGACCTAAGAGGAATAAAATGGATATTAGTCTTATATTTAATTTATTTAATAATAATATATTATATATATATGACCCATGTGCACATATATATTAATTACTATGTACATATTTAATTAATTATGCTAACCAGTGAAAAGAAAAACGATCATACTATCACTAATATTTAATTTATTTAATAGCTATTTAACAATAAATATGACCCACACGTGTGTGTATATATATATATATATAATTTAATTATGATCAACAACGAAAACAAACAAGATGTATTTAAATAAATATAATTATAACTAAAAATATTTATTGTTAATGATAGAAATTGAAATTACATATATATTGATGTTCTTTAAATTTAGTAAAAATTGAACTTAAAACGAAAAAGTAATTAAAAAATTAAAAATATCATACAATTAAAGAAAAAGAAAAAATGATTTTCAAAAAGAGCGATTAGAGCTGCTTTGATTTGTTTAAATGGTCTATAAAACAAATTTAGTAAAAAAATAACTTAAAACGAAAAAAAGTAAAGAAATAAAGAAAATAAAGACTAAATTATAAAATTTCAAATTCAATTTTTAATTTTTTGAAATGGTAAAATTTTAACTTGATTTAAAATCAAAATTCAAAACTAAATTTGAATTTAGAAAATTAAAATTAAAATAAAATAAAAAATATTTATTAAATAGTCTGTGGTAATTATGATGTAGTATTTGTACAAAAAAATTTCAACCAATTAATAATGCACACTCCTTATAAATGTAACTATTCAAACTCAAAATTTTTGAACATAATAATTTCTACTTTTATTACTAAGATTATTTGATAAGTTAAAATCAGATTAAATTTTAATGTATATCCTGTGTTAGTCTATATATGACATTGACATATCATTTGAGTTCAGAAGTACGTTTTGGAAGTCCAACTCGGTTTTCAACAATTGTACTGTAAGTTACTAATTAATTTTTGGTCCCAATTATTGGAAATTATGTGCTTTTTGAAAATTATGTTGAGCATGACCACATAAAGCACATAATTTTCAACATAACGCCTTGTTTAACGTATATCCTTTGTAGTCATGCTCACCGTTTCATTCTAGTATAGTTTTTTTTTTATAAAAATTGATTTTAGTCTCTATATTTTTATTTTTTTAGTTTAATTTTATAATTCTAACGACTTCGTTTATATTATAGAAATAATCTTTATTTCTTTGATTAATACGATATTATCTCTAAATTTTTATTATTTTTTGAACATCCTATCTCATCATATCCTTATATTTTTCTCATAATTTATAAAACGGGTGAAATTCAAAATTTTAAATTTACATCCCCAAACGTAATATTAATTTGTTATTTAATTTGTGTTATAAAATAAAATTCTGTATATAATAATTCAAATTTCAATTGAAAATTTATAGTAAGTAGTCTTAAAATATATAAATAGTAATAAGAAATTAGTACATTAAGAGGTCTTAATAATAAAAAGATATGTTTTTTTAGAGATTTCAGATTCAAATAATTATATATATAAAGTACTAATTATTAATATTTATGAAATATTTTTAACAAATATTAATTATAATGATCTCGTATTATTAAAAAAATTATTTACATATTTATCAATATTAATTATATTGTGAAATATTAAATACCAAAAATGAAAATTATAGCGTGTAATTCCACTTCCTCCCTTCCACTATCCCCAAGGGAAAAAACACGCCAGCCAACTGAAGCTTGATATAAACCCCGTAGGCCCTTCCACCCCAAGCTTTAGAAGGGGAATCTCTCTTTAAAGTTTTGGACTTTTGATTCCCTGTGTTTATGAAAGATTTCAATTTAAAAAGGGAACTTTTCAAGCTGATTCCACCATGAAACAAACTCCAATCTTTCTCTCATTTTGAAAGCAGATCTTTTGAGTTTTCTGTTTTTCTTTTTTGGGTTCAAGCTTGGCACTTCCCTTTCCTGCTCATTTTATGGATATATAAAGCTTTTGTAGCCATCAGACTTTCCCATCAAAATTTTTGCAGAACTTAGGAATTGATATTTGTTGATGAATATGGAGAGTGGCAAAATCTGTGGTAGTTTAAAAATGAATGCTTTGGTTCAAAGTGAACAACTTTCTTGTTCCCCACAGGTTATGGAATCTTTATGGATACCCTCTTCTTCCTCTGTTCTGCAAGGTAATTTTCTTGTTCCTCTCAGGTTCAAATCTCAATTCTGGGTTTGATTACTTATCCCCAAAAAGAATAGAAAACCAATTTCTCGGTTTGTCTAGTTACTTCTGGGCGTGCATTCTTCTTGTTTGTCTAGTTGAATAAATAAATAAATAATCTGATTTTTGTGTGCCCACCGTGTGATTTGATCAGGTCAACAGCCTGTGATTAGTTATGAGGATGCTGATGGAATGGAAACCGGATTCTTCCAACCGGTTGACAAAGAAAACAATGGAGACGATGAGTTTGATGGATCGTATAATCCACCGGGGAAGAAAAGGCGGCTAACTGCCACACAAGTTGGGTTCCTCGAGAGAAGCTTTGAGGTTGAAAACAAACTCGAACCAGACAGAAAGTTGCAACTTGCAACGGAACTCGGTTTAGAGCCCCGACAAGTTGCAATCTGGTTTCAAAACCGGCGTGCTCGGTTTAAGAACAAACAGCTGGAAAATGACTACGACTCCATGAAAGCTACCTACGAGAAGCTCAAGGCTGACTATGAGAATCTCCTCAAGGAAAAAGATAGTATGAGAAATGAGGTAAAACCAACAGAGCATTTCTGCTGTTTTTGAAGTATTAATCTGCTCTAATGGTTACTCAAAATTGATTTTTTCCAATTTTGCAATCCATAATAGGTACTTGAACTGAAAGAGAAGCTGTTGATTAGAGAGAAAGGGAGTGAAAATTTGGAATCTCTTGATGCCATGAATTCATCCAAGATATCTCTTGAACATGTGTCCCATGTGTCGTCGTTGGCATGTAAACAGGAAGAAGCGTGTTCGGCTAAAATCGATGTTTTCGACTCCGATCATCATTCTTCATTGATAGAGCCGGAGAATTCGTCGAATGTTTTCGAACCGGATCAATCTGATATTTCCCAAGATGATGAAGATAATCTAAGCAAGAGCTTCCTGCACCTGCACCCACCAATATTCTTCCCAAATTTCGAACTTGACTGTTACTACGATGCACATGCCAATTCATGTAATTTTCAATTACCGGTGGAAGACCAGTCGTTTTGGTCTTCACTTTACTAAGTTAATAATCTATGATGAACTTTGATGCTTTTGCACTTGTAAGCAATATTACATATGTTCATCTTTGACGCTTTCTCAAGAACCAAAGTCTTCTGCATTTTTGAACTTTGAATAGCAGACCAGGAGAAAAAGAAACTAAATGGTGAAAAATTGAGTAGCACTTTTATTGTGTAAAAAACCCAGGAATTTGCATCAACATCATTATGAAAGGATGACAGCTTGGGATTTGAAATCCCAACAATGGAAAAGCTTGAAAAAGGAAGAATAATGGGGGAAGAAAAGTCAATATTCTGGCATGAATCATCTTCTTCCTTCCTTAGCTTTCATCAATGGATGATGACTGATGACTTGTACATCACTGATGTTGGTTGTGGGGGACGTTGAAAGATTCAGTATTTTTATGAGAAAAAAAAGCAATGTAATGTTGTATTTAACAAGTTACATTGCTTAAAAGAATCTTGCTTGGTGATGCTGGTTGGATGAGATGAGAGGGAAAATGTTTGGTTTTCCCAGAAAATGATGAGAGAGAATTTGATTGGTGGAATATGCATGGCATTGCATCATTCCAATTTCCCGAGGCATTCAGGTGCAGCAGGAGGCTGTTGGGATCATCGGAATCTGATCTGATCTCATTGGCTTTGAGGTAGGATCATGTGAAATTTTGCAGGCTGGGGGAAGTTCCAGTATCAGCGCCTTCGCCGTTCGCTTCCCAAAACTTTAAAAAAAGTTCCGCCAATGAGATTCGTTAACGATAAGCAATGCTGTAAAAATCTGATGGGATCGGTAAACCTATTAGTTTTCAGTTCAATAAATTGAATGAAACGGTTAAATTATTTAAATAATGTTTTTCCCTATCCTTTTTTCTATAATTTGATTATTTAAATTTTCATTTAAAAATGATAAATGATTTTATCTGTTTGTATTTTTATAATATGTTTTAATTTTTTTAAGGTTAAATCTGACATTATCTCTTTTAATTCAGATGACGCTTATTTGATTATTATAATAATTAAATTTATTATTGATTTAGACCCTCAAATTGAATATCGATATACGCTCACAATTACAAAAAATAGTTGTGATTAAGTAATGATATTCTCAAATTCAAGCTGCAAGTCAAAATATTCATGCTCACACACTTATTTTACTTCTTCTTACATGTTTCCCAATTTAATATTTAGGAATTATCATATAATCAAGTTTCAATCAAATCATTCCATTTATTAATTATAATAATTATCATTATTAACATGATTATTAAAATCGATAAAGAGAGTAACATAATTATAATTGGAAATTTAACATTTTTTTTACATTTACGGACAAAATAACATGTTTGTTACAATTAATAAATAGAATATTTGTTGAAAACATTTTGATATTTCGATATAACAAACTAAATTTAAATGAATTTTAAGATTTTACAAATGATTTTCTAAGTATATTCGATTCAAATTAATCGAATGTCAAACTATTACTCCAAGTCTTTCGAAAACAATTTTAATCCTTACTAAATGTGTAAAATTGTGATTTATACTTAAACTATTTTTGAAACAATTTTCACAAAGTATTCTGAACCTAAATCAAGCCTAAAATCAATTTTTAGAGTGATGCACCGATGCACCAATCCATGCATCGATGCACCATGAATTAAATTGAACATCGAATGCATTCCATGCATCGATGCACACCATGCACCGATGCACTGAGGATTTTATAAGAACATTGAATGCATTTGATGCATCGATGCACCAGCCATGCATCGATGCACTCGAGCTATTTTAAAACATCGAATGCACTTGATGCATCGATGTACTCTTAGTGCACCGATGCACTAAGGTTCCAACAGTCAAAATATTTGAATTTTACACTGATGCACCATGGGTATGCATCGATGCACTGACGCTCCCAACTGTATTAATTAATTGTTTTCACACTTAAACGGCTCTATTGACTCCTCTAATCATCCCCAACGTTCAGAAGTGATTCAAGGTGTATTTAAACAAGCTTAGAAGCCATTGATCAATAACAAGAAACATCAAGCAACTAGAATCAAGAGAGAATCAAAGAGAAAGCATCAAACCTCAAGTTTGAGCATTTCAAGCCTATTTTTCATTCAATATTCATTTTGCTTTCAATAACACTTTTGTACTCAATTGAATTCATTCTTGAGTGTTCTTTTCTTTGTTATAGAATTGTGCAAACAATCTACCTTGTGAGGATTTCCTTGTAAGTTTGCAAATTTGTATTGTTCTCTTTGGGAGAGAGTTTTCTCAAGAATTTGGGGTATAATTCTTGAGGGTTTGTAAGGTTACTCTTTGTCCTCAAAAGAAAGACAAATTAGTGAATTTGTGGAAAATCCTTAGTGTGGATAGCTAAGGTAGTAGACGTAGACTTTGGTTGAGAAAGTCAAACCACTCTAAATCGCTGTGCAAATCTTTTCAATTTTCTGCAAAAGCTTCCACCGAAATTTTTATTGCCAATTCACCCCCCTCTTGGCCGATTCCGTCGATCGATTAACTCAACAATTGGTATCAGAGCCTAACTCATTTGAAGGTTTAATCACCTCTTGAGTCGATTCGGGAAGAGTTATATCGATAATCAAAGTCATCAATGACCTCCACTTCAAATTTCGACTCCGGTCTCGATTCGATGCCCGTCAATAAGCCTCATTTCTTCAATGGAGCTAATTATGCCTATTGGAAGAATAAGATGATGTACTTCATTCAAGCAAGTGACATGGGAGCATGGAATGTCGTAGTAGAAGGATACATCAAGCCTCTCACTCATCCAAGATTATGGAGTGAAAGAGAGACAAAAATGTTCCAGCTCAACTCCAAAGCCATCCATATCATTTTTTGTGCTCTTGGACCAGATGAATACGGAAGAGTTTCATCATGTACATTCACCAAAGAAATATGGGACAAACTTCAAGTCACTCATGAGGTAAAAAAAATCTAAAATTAGTATTCTAACGCATAGCTATGAAAATTTCAGGATGAAACCAAATGAAGATATCAAAGCTATGACGAATAGATTTTCAATGATTGTCAATGGTCTCAAATCATATGGAGAGATCATTTCAAATGAAAAGCTTGTGAGGAAGTTAGTCTACTCCCTCCCAAAATCATGGCAATCAAAAAAGACGGCAATCATATCGAGTCTAAGGACCTAACGTCCTTAACTCTTGAAGAGCTAATCGGTTCACTCCTCACTCATGAAATGATGCTTGAAGATGAGGTGAACCTTGATAAAATTGAAGAGACACCAAAGGAGAAGGAGAAGGAGAAAAATAAAAATATTAGAGTTGCTCTCAAATCCACAAAAGATGAGAGTGATTCGGATGAAGATGACCATGACGAGGAAATGGCATTGTTTGCCAAACGGTTCAGAAAAATAATGAGACCTTACCGAGGAAGAAAATTCAAACGAAATGAAGGCCTCAAAAATGAACCAAAAGAGAAGGACTCGATCATTTGCTATGAATGCAAAAAACCAGGGCATGTTAAATATGATTGCCCACAATTGAAGAGGAATGGTCAATCAAAGAATAAGCACAAGGCTCATGTGGCTACATGGAGCGATAAAGAAAGTTTCGATGAAGAGGAACAAGAAGTAGCTAACTAGTGCTTGATGGCATTCGGAGAAGATTCTAAGGTAACCTCTAACTCATCCGAGTTTGATGATTTATCCTATGATGAGTTATTAGAGGAATATAATGGGTTGGCTTCGGATTATGAGAAATTGTTTTTAAAATATAAAAATGATGTTTCAAAATTGAAAAATGAAAACAAACTCATATCCAAAACCAACAACGATCTTGAAAGTAAAATCAAATATTTGCAAATCAAACTAGAAGAGTTTGAAAAGAAAAATTTAGATTTGCAAAATTTACTTTCAAAGATCAATGATGATCATCAAAAGAAAATTGATGATCTTAAAACTTTGAAAAATGTGAAAATTCAAAATCCAACTTTGTTAGAAAAAGTTTTAGAAACTACAATCATAGAGGTCCCAAAGAATCTCTAATGGAAAAATCGTTAGAAGTATGTGGGTTCCTAAAGAACTCATTACTACTAAAGATAAAAATATCCTATGGATACCTAAGGGGACTAGGATTTTGGAAACTAATGAATATGGACCCAAAAGAATTTGGGTACCAAAAATCAAAAATTAATCTATGTTTGTAGGGAAAGGAGCATTGCTACAAGGCACGGGAAACAAATTCAAATTCATGGTACCTTGATAGTGGATGCTCAAGACACATGACCGGAGACAAAAGCCGGTTCATTTAGCTTAACGCCAAAAATGGAGGAGAAGTGACTTTTGGAGACAATTCAAAAGGTCACATTGAAGGTATTGGTACAATAGGTAATACATCTTCCATACAAATTAAAAATGTTCTATATGTGAATGGATTAAAGCATAATCTATTGAGTATTAGTCAATTATGCGATAAAGAATTCAATGTCTTATTTGAAATTAATGGTTGCAAAGTCATTGACATTGCATCTAATTGGATTATGCTTGTTGGTCATAGAATAGGAAACATATATATGGTGCATTTAGATTCCTTTGATATGACTAATTTATGCCTAGTTGCTAAGGATGAACATGATAGTTGGTTATGGCATAGGAGACTAGGACATGCTAGTATGAGTGTTTTGCAACGGCTAATTCAAGGTGATTTAGTTCGAGGGTTGCCTAAGCTTAAATTTGATAATGATAAAATCTGTGATGCTTGTACTAAAGGAAAACAAAAGTGAGTTTCTTTTAAATCCATTAATGATGTATCAACTAGTAGAGTTTTACAATTGATCCATTTAGATCTCTTTGGGCCAACTAGAACTACTAGCTTGGGTGGAAAACAATATGCATTTGTCTTGGTAGATGACTACTCTAGATATACTTGGGTTCTATTCTTAAGTACAAAAGATGAAGCATTAGAACATTTCATCACATTTTCAAAAATAATCCAAAACGAAAAGGTTACTCTATCACTAGTGTTAGAAGTGATCATGGAACTGAATTTGAAAATCTTAAATTTATTGAGTTTTGTAA